CAGAGCCCGGCCCCGGGCGCGGGGGCAGCGCGGGGAGGGGACGAGGGAAATTTGAAATCACTCTGGAGCCTCCCCTCTGCCCCTCCTCCACGGGCGCCGCCTCTAGTACCCCCAGCCTTGTTAAATCACCCACCAGCATACCGAGCCCTGACGGGGAGCTCGCGGGCGTCCCCTAACACCCTACAATCCTCCTGGGGCCCCTTTTCCCCGACCCCCACCTGGAACACATAAACAGCTGTCTAGATGAGGGGGCCCAGAGAGGGAAGTGTCCCTACTGGCGTCACACAGCAGCTGAGTCTCCCTTTCACCCACACCTCCAGCTGCAAAGTCACCTGGGTGCTGCAGTGCCACCGCCAGTCAGCCCGCCGGCTCTGGACCCTCGGACTAGTCCTTTCTTCCTCCCACCGTGCTCAGCCTTTGTCAGCCATCTTGAGGGGAAAGGCAGTCAGGTGCCCTGGCTGCCTGGGTTCTTGGAGACTACCGGCATCACCAACAGAAGAAACCTTACACTGTTAGCAGCTCTCAACTGCCTCTACCCTTAAACAGGTACTGAACTATTGGAAAACCACTTCCTAATATTTATCATACCTCGTATTTATATATTTGTTTACCTGCTTATTGTATGTTTCCACACATCAGACTGTCAAGGCAGGGTCTCAGTGTGTCTTAGCACACAGTAGATGCTCAATAAATTTGTGTTAAATGAATGAAAGAAGAAATAAATGATGGCGTATGAGGTTCTATAGCTGGCTCCTGCCTACCTTTCCAGGCATCTCTTGTCCCCTACCCTCCCTCATGTCACTCTAATCATCTCAACTCTTTGTAGTTCCTCAAACACATCAAGCATGTTCCTGAACATTCTCTGCCCAGATCTCTGCATGGTCAACTTCTTACCATTCTCTCCCCCAAAAAAACTGCACTCTTCAGGAGAGATTTTTCCTGACCACTCCATTTGAACAGTCTCCTTTGGCCATCACTCTTATCCTATTTCATTCTCTTTGTGTCACTTATAACTATTTTAATAGTTTTGCATAATTCCTTATTTACATCTTTCTTTTTTTTTTTTCTTGTTATACACACATATGATAAATTCTATTCCATACAGGCAGGAACTACACCTGTCTGTCTTGTTCCAAGCTGTATATCCAATACCTACAGAAGGAGTTCAATACAAGTTTGTTGAATGAATGAATGAATGAATGAGCACAGGTTTCCTGCTTCATGGGCTCCAGCCCTCTGAGTAAAACCACAGCTTTCTCCCTTCGTTCCTTGCCAGATATCTGCAAATAAGTCAATGGCAAATTCTCTGGAAGCTGCAAAATGTTTCTAAACTCTTTGGATCTTGTTCTACCTTGGAACCTGAAGAAAGGCTAAGGAGATAAGTGAAATGGGCTCAGCAACCAGGAGAGCCTCATGTGAATGAGCTGCAGGATCTCCTTAGCCTCTGGCACAAACATCCAAAATTAGGTTCCAGTCAGTTGGTACAGGAAGAAAAGGATCTCTCAAGAGGGCCTGTGGCTTGTCCCTGCCATCTGGGGTATGTCTTTAGAGGAAAGAAAATATACATGAGCTAGTGGGCCTGTGTGGAGGGCTCCTGTGCCTGTTTTCTGATCCATAAGCCAAGACCTGCAAAGGATGTCTGTGTACCGCCAAGAATGCCTGGGAGGCCTAGTTAAGATTCCAAAGGGTTGAGTTTTCTGGGACATTGCAGACATTTCTGGAGACAGTAGACCACCTAACTCCAGGAGGTGAAAATAAGGAGTCTGAATGAGCAAATGATCTCAGCCCTGTCATTTGGAAAAGATGGTGAATGCCAGGAGAATGAGTAAAAGAAAAATGGCCTGATTGGTCTCTGAATATGACCAACGAACTTTGCGAACTATGAAGTTCTGTAACCTTCATAGTTTGCAAAGTTCATTGGTCATATTCAGCACCTCATTTGAGCCTCACAGCCACTCCCAAGAGGAGTCAGAGCAAGGAGAACTGGGAGACCCATTTCAGAGGAGGTGACTAAGACCCAGAGAAGAGAGGAACTTGTGCAAAATAAGTCAGCCTGGCCTTAACTGAGCACCTGCTATGTGACAAAGCACCTCTCTAGGAATTCAGACAAAAAGGTCCAGAGCTTTTGAGTTGGTTGGGAAGTGTCAGACAATAAATATAAACAAATAAGAGAATGTCTGGTATAGACAAACCTGGGTAGAAGATAAAAGTGGAGACTGGAGCGATGCAGCCTGGCCCAGGTCAGGATCCAGCTTGGCATGTGGGAGAGACTGCCAGGAGGCCAATATGGCCAGAGCAGAGGGAGTAAGGAGGGGAGAAATAATGATCGGGGTAGGGGCCAGGATCTAGTAAGCCAGGATGGGGACTTGAGATGTCATCATTTGGACCAAGATCTGACTCAGATGTTTAAAACAGATCCAAGTGGGGAGGTGAACGGGGAGGAGGTTAGTGCCTGATCTGAAAGACTGAGCATGGTAGCCTGGACCATGGTGGGAGCAGAGGAAATGGAGATAAGTGACTAGATTTGGGATAGATTGTGCAGGTCGAGCCAAGTGGTGCTATTGGCTCCAAGGGGTAAAGGGAGGAGTGGCATCAAGGATGACCTCTGGCATCAAGGATGATTTAGCCTGAGCACCTGGACAAAGGGAGGTACATTGACTTAAATGAGGAAGGCTTACAGAATTGGATTTTGAGGGGAGCTCAGAAGGTCTGCCTTGGGGGTGTGAATGTGGTGTCATATCATGGGTGGAGTTGACACACACGTCCCCTGACTCTGTCCAGTGCTCCTCTCACTGTCTGGGTAGTAGGAATGCCATATACCTCTCCTACACCATACCCTGTCCCCCAGCATGCATTCTCAGAGAGGATGACCCGATGTCTTAGAGGGGGACTCTGTGGTTTGAAACCCACCTCCAAAATCCCATGAATCTGATAAATCATCTGGTCTCTCTGAGCCTTAGTTTCCCCAGCCATAGAGAGAGAATTCTTCATGGGATTGCTGCCGGGGCCACTGAATGAATTTAAATGAAAACATTGATGCTGGATTAACCAGTTGGGCAGACAAGGCTCCAGACCCCAAAGAAATATTTTTTATGAAAGATTTTGCTTTTCTGGAATTAAAAAATAAATTTAAATTAAAAAAAGAAAGATTTTGATCTTATTCTCACACCCCCCCAAGATTTTGCTTCTTATTGTGGTTTTTTTTTTTAAAAAAAAAGTCACTACACACACAAAAAAAAACACAACAAAGGCAGTGGAGAACATGAAAAGTTAGAAAGAGAACTTTTCTTTCTAGGTAGATTTCAAATCTTCCTCTGGTTGCATACGGGTACAAGAATGTTTACTTAAAAATTGATTGTTATCATAATCACTAAAATCATGATGGTAATCAGTGTTTACAAAAGAAACAAAAATTCTGTGATTAAAGGTCATTTGTTTCATCATCCAAAAAAAAAAAAAAAACCATAGATAAGAGAATGTCCTTGCTCTTAGGAAATAAACACTAAAGTATTTAGGGGTAAAGGGACACAGTGTCACCAATTTGCCCAAAATGGTTCAGAAACAATAATACCCACATATATAAGAGAGAGAGAATGAAAAGCAAATGGGGCAAAATGTAAACAAATGAGAATCTAGTTAAAAAGACATTCATGAGTTCCTTATACTAGTCTTAAAACTCTTCCATAAATTAGAAATTATGTCAAATAAAAGGGTACCCCCCCAAAATTAATGTTAAAAAGAAATACTACCTGTACATATATGTACCCTTGATGTTGTCATGCTAATCAATACATTGATGGACTTACACCTGTGTCGTGGTTAAATATTACATTTGTATCGAATTATATTGTCATCTTTGCAGCTCTTAGAACAGCTACAGGTTTTTAATAACATATGCAAAGTGCTTAGCACAGTGCCTGATACATAATAGGTACTTCATATATGGTAGTTATTTTTATGAGTAAACTACTTCATCTCTCTGTGCCTCAATTTCTTCATCTGTAAAATGGAAGTAATAACAGTACCTACTTTATAGGATTGTCGTGAGAATTATATGAGTTAATACACATAAGGCATTTGAACACTGCCTGGCACATGGAAAACACTATAAAAGCGCTTGCTAAATTAAAAATATATGTTGTTAATAATGAATACATGCGGCTGTGCTCTCCTGGCTGTTCCTGGTCTTGGCAGGTGCCGAGATGAGTGCTCTCCCTGCTCCCACCTTCACATAACCCTGTCCCTTAGGCTCCTGACTGCTAAGGCAAGCCCGATTCACCTCTAGATCTACAAGCAGTATCTAGTATCATGAGCTGCACTTTACAGTCGAAGAAAATGAGGCTCTCTGCAAGGGGAAGCCAGAGCTGGTTGGTGGCAATGCTGAGACTAGACTCCCAGCTTGAACCCCATCCCATCCCCCACTCAGTATGCTATGCTAAGAAGTTTGAGCCTCAGTCATCTCCCCGTCTAATTGGAATAATAATAATTGTAATGCCTGCTTCCTGGAATGACTGCAGGATTCACAGAGCCCAAGTATGTGAAAGAACCTCATTGTAAAGTACTCAGTCTTAACTGCAGTGTCAAAAGAGGCCATGTTCATTTGCAAAGTGGGTTCCTCACCTTTCATTTTCAACAGGAACACCCAG